ACTACTAAAGGAAACTAGATTATTCCCCAGCCCACCCTCTTTCCCACCTGATGGATCCAAGTTTGGTAAATTTAATTTGCAGTTACATCAGACTAACTAAAAATTGAAATTATAAATCACAGCCCTACTCAGCTGATCTGAAGAACACATCAGTTTTTTTTTTGAAAGTGGCATGTTCCAAAAGTCTCATACAGCCACAGCTTACTACAGAGTACTCTTTAGGGTAGGGCACAGGACAGGTTAATTAAGGTCACTTAAATCTTCATCTTTTACAGCAGATCAGAACCCAGATGGCTGACTTTCTGCAGGATTTCTGGTAGAAATCCAGTAGAGCTGGTTTCAAGGTTCACATCAACACTTTAATAGCTGTAACCTTCTTATCCAGAAGTTGTGATCCACATGAAGTCAACAAAGAGTGCAGCAAGTCTGAGGTAGTCAACCCTTACAAAGGCTCAGTATCTGAACATAAAAAGATTTTCCAAATGACCACTGGCTGCAGGTTTTGGTTTTTTTGTATTTGCAGAGCAATTATGAAAAAAGTGTTTAATCTAGTTCACACATTTATATAACAATGAAAATACCCCTAAATCCAATATACATAAAGAACAGTTGTGATATTTTAAACTCCCATAGTGCAACAGGTCGGTCACGTGCATGGTCTGCATCCGCTGCTGTAGATCCAACAGAGACCATTCGTGGTGATTAGCTGTGGTCTAGTTACCTTAGAGGGGTTAGCAAAGACCATTCCTTAATGATAAGGTGTGTGGCTGCATTTCTGGTTTTCAAGCACAGCATACTGGTTGTCTAGCTGAAGTTTAAGGGCCTGGTTTTTTGAAATCTCATCCCTACCTCTATTTTTGTGTCTTACTACTTCAAAGCTCTTCTCCATTTCTTTATCCCTAAGGGAAAAGAAATGTTATCAGTAAATATTTCTTCACTGGAGTTTTTTGGAAAATGTACTTTATATTTCTTTTAAAAAGTCACCCCTTAAGAATCTTGGGGAGAGACAGAAAGGGAGAAATGGTACATAAAACCAGTATTAAACCATTTTAAGGCTTCAACTGAACAGAAGACACACAATACTGTACTGTAGCTTTATGGTCTCATCTTTTACTCAAGAGTAGTACTGCAAACCTATTTTGGGACCGACTTGAAGACAACTGGAAAGAAGCTGTATAATGACTCTTCCTAAAACTGACTTACTTTCAGCAATTAGTTAATATGTTTCTTTATGCATAAGGGTAACAATTTTATTCAAGTAAACTTATGACAACAGTTTCTCCTCATTTCTGCTTTGTGGGAGTGGGGTAGGTCAGATCAGGTAAGGAAAGATGAGCATGTTGAGTCACTGCCCTCCCAGAGGTCCCTTATACATTTTGTACCACAGAGTAGAGGAGCCAGTCCAAGTGGAGGTTTAAATTCAAGCCAGCTGTGCTCTCAAAGAGGCAAAAAGGCTGGGATTTACTTTAAAAGCCACCCCAAAAAAAATTTCCATCTGATGTCATTTATATTTCTTCCCATTTTATTTACTTTTAAAAATTCATGTCCCTAAGTAAGATGTAGATGAACCACATGTGGTCATTTAATTCCAGGTAGCATTCATTTTAAGTACCTGCTGAAATAAGATTATTTTAATATTAGATTTTTAAATGTCAACATCTTTCACCTATTCATTGTTTACTGGGAATATAAGGAAACTTTGCTCTTGTATTTCCAAGTTCCATATTATAAGGAACCTAAACTAGTTATAATATACAAAGAATTCTAGTTGTGATTTGCCATCACCACAAAACCAGGGTTTAGAGACTGATGGACAGCAGACAAAGTGTCTTTAGTGCTTTTTCCCTTGTCCTGCCCCTACCCCTACCCCCCACCTCCCACCTCCCTCCCGGGTACCTAAGATCCAGCCTGGTTCTAAGCTGACTGTCAGCAGATAAAGAGTGATCTCCTGCTAGTGGGTTTGAATGCCCCCAATCTACCTCCTGAACCAGGGCTGGGAGAGCCCACATAAAAGGCAGTAATTAGGGTACTTACTTCCGGCTTTCTACGTGCTTGGCAGTGGACTGCAAGGATGGAAACTGTGTATCACTGTATATTTCTGGTGGTCCTTGTGGCGTTTTCCTTGTTGTGGTTAGTCTGGCCCCAGGAGGCCTATACACACCACTAGTCATTGCCGGTTCTGGGGTTTCTGTAACTAATGTTTTACAACAGTTTAGAGAAATCAAACAAATAGTCTGTTTAAGTAAGTCACTCCTACACTTCCAGATCATTTATAATAAGTATGAAAACAAGCAAACCCTGATATAGGGAAGGGTCTCTGGGTGAAACAGAAGGAAAGAAAAGTAGTTTGAGGAAATATTTTCAAAAAACTCTCTTTAGGGCAGTACTCTTTACTGCTCTTCCATGTACAATTTGAACTTTACTGGTAAATAAGCTCTAAAGCATTGCTACTAGAAATGGGAACGGATACTGCTGTTGGTATGGTAGATAGCTCTCATCCAGGACCTTTCAAAATACGTCTATTTTGCCCTCAGTTTCCCTGAGTAAACAGGGGTAATCATTTCTTTACCTGATGACAAACTAAACAAGATGCCTGCATAGTTGTTTTAAATTATAAAAACAGAAAAAAAACAAAAACAAGCAATTAATATTTCAGGGTAGGGTCTACAGGGTCTCACTACTAGATCGGACTCCTAGCAATCCGCCCATTTACAGCCTCCCAAGAGCTGGGATTATAGGCATGCTCCAGTGCACCCAGTCTCAATTACTGTCTCAGCGTGTGTTGGGGGGGCTCCTTGAAGGGGGGGGAGAACGCGGAGGGGGGGGGGGGGCCGGGGGGGGGGGGGGAGGCGGGCAGGCCTGGGATCAAACCCCCAGTCCCCTGCCACAAAAAAAAACCCTGGTCCCTGAGCCTGTTTGCAGGCGCTTTAATCCACTGAGCTATTTGGCCATCCCCAGAAACAAGCAATTAGATAACCTTATTTCACTGACTCTTTTACTCATTCTCTTCCACATCAATGGAGTAAGGCTCTTCGCCTTTGTTTTCTTAGAAAATTCAGAAAAAAAAATTTAGAAGCTGAGCAGCTCCTGACTAACCATCCTAACAGTTTGGGGATTAAGCCTAACTTTTTCTATCTCCCACACCTCATATTCAAACATGCACTTGGTTTCCACTTACCAAAAACTTCATTTTGGGCTGGTAGTATAGCTCAATGATTAAGAATACTTGCCTAGTATTAGTATGTGTGAAACCCTAGGTTGAATCTTCAGTACCACAAATCAATATTTTTAGCACAACAAAACTTGTGGAATACTTTTAAACAAAAGCACAACTATTAACTTCCAGATTTCTTCCACTTAAGATCCTGCAAGTTCTTCCACAACAATACCACACGCATGCTTTTAGTTGAGGGTGGAGGACATGTACCACTGTGTGTCAACAAGCTGTCTTTTGGGACAGAAACAGTAAAATTACCAATTACTGGTGCGGGAGGTGCTTGTACTGGAGCTGTTTTATTCCAGGGTCCTGAAGACTTCTCTGTACCACCACCACCTCCACCTTCTTCCCAGTTATCTCCTGGATCTTCTCTCTTTTCATTATCATCTTCTTCCTTTTCACTAGTGGAAAAGCAAACAAGTGAAGAACCACTGGGAAATATTGTCAGTCCAAATCCTCAACTGTATCAATATGTATCTCTGACTGACTCTGCAGAAGTCGTTTAATGACCTCTTCAAAGCCTAAATGCTTCATGTACTTTAAGGAAAAAAAAACTGTGGGGAGCAGGAGAAATGGGGGATTTTTATTTATATAATACATTGGGACTCTCGCTTGACTTCATATGAAAAAAAGACTGCATTAATTTAAAAAAAGGAAACCTCCAAAGTTCCATTATGCAAATCACTTCATAAACTCAAGAACTCAGAAATGTTTAACACACTGATATGCCTATGTGACAAACTACATTATTATTTGTATTCTAAGTGACCCAAGTAAAAGTACACCCCAGCTCAAAAAACTACAGAAGAGGGTGACGGAAATGCAGAGAAAAAGGTGAATTGAAGAGTTAAATGAATGACAAGATTTTTCTAGGACCAATGTGTACAAACTAGCACTTATGCTAAATGTATTTTTAGTGGAAAAAAAATGGCTTTCAAAAGATGTAATTTTATTTATAATTCTTTAGCACATTACAAAATGCTCTCAAAACGAGAATTTTCATTCTAACACAGCAAGGCTATGTCTTAAGTTTACATCACTCAGTGCCACAGATCTCATTAGTTTCAAGACCACCTTGGGCCGGCCAGACAGCTCCGTGGACTAAAGCGTTTGCTTAGGCAGACACAGGGACCAAGGTTCAATCCCTGGCTCTATATGTTGTGCCAGCCCCACCCCCAGGGTGGTTAAGACTAGGTGTGGTGGCACCAGCCTGTAATCCCAGCACTTGGGAGGCTGAAAACAGGAGGATCATTGTAGGTCTGATTTGTGTAGTGAGACCCTGTGGACCCTGTACTAAATACATTTTAAAAAATACAGATCTCATTAGCTTCAGTCTCTGTCCAACAAGTGGAATACAAAGAACCTGTAACACAAACACACACTGGTCATCTACTAAGAGCCCAGTCTTTAGCTTACCAATTAATACAAAAGATACACTCCAAGGAAAACATTGCATCCTAAGACTATCCATGTTATTTTAAACAGGATCTTACTATGCTGCCCAGACTAGACCTGAATTCCTAGGCTTTAGCCTACTAAGTGCTAGAACTACATGTGCTCAGAACAGCATGACCAGCTACAATTTTAATGTCAACCTTGGTATCATTACTCTTTTTGTGCATGTGTGGTGGGGGGGGGGGGGCGCACCTGGACATGCTCTACCACTTACATCCCCAGCCAGTTTCTTTATTCTTTAATTAGAATCTACAGTTTCTCCAAGGTATCTGTTTTTTTTTTTTCCTTCTGCTGGGCTACTTATAATTTTATATTTTATATACCCAAAGATCACTCTAAGAGATCAAGTAATTGCAATTCATCTCTCTATTACTGGCTCAACAGCAGGGATATTTAGCATAATACTGTTATTGTTCATTGAGCTGCCTTTTTGAAACTGACCCTGCTGATTCACCTGGAAGTGACTCCTGACTTTTCCTGGAATTATTATTTGTGACAGTGGTGGCTTGTCTTGGGTCCTTAACTTCTTAATCTCCTTCACCAACCTTTTCCCTCATCCCTTACACCAGTTCTCCTGACACCTGGTTAACCATCATGCCCATTAACAATGCATGGATGACTCACTCCTTGACTTTCCATATAACCTTGAGAACCATGACAAATAGCCTTCCCTAGCTTTTCCGTAAGCGTGCTTTCCCTCCATTGTTATTAGAATAATATGTATTTTGGCTGTAAGATAAATTTATTAGCATGATGGTCTCTTTTAAAACCAAAAAATTTTCAAAGATAATGGCAGTCTTATGTGAACTGCCACCAACCACAGGTGATTCTAGCATTTAGAGGCCCAGGGTTTCAATTACAAAGGCAGGGAAGAGCATATCTTCAATCTGCATTAAGACCATATATGAGAGAGAAAAAAGATGAATATGACCACACTACCCTTTTCCTTTTAGATTATTAACATATAATGGAATTCTATTTAATCATCTACAATCATACCAAGGCCTACACTGCTATGGAAGTAGCATTCATAATATAAACTAGCAACTTACTAAATCATGTATATAAGCATAAATGCAAGAACATTAAGATCAGTTTTGGGGGGTTGAGGATGTAGCTTGGGACAGAGTAAATACCTAACATATGCAAGGTCCCATGTTTCATACCTAGTACTGCAAACAAAACTATCAAAAATGTTTTAAGGATTAGCTTTGGGTGCTAGAATGCAACTATGAGCTAATTCCAAAGCCATACTGCTTGGTTCAAATTTAGACTCTGCCATTTAGTGGCCAGGAAACACCAAAGATGGCAGTTAACTTCAGGGGTTTTTTTTGTATCTAAAATGAGGGTAACAGCCCCACTATGAAGATTAAATGAGGGCCCAGGGAGATGGCTCAGTAGAATAAGCGCTTCCCTGGCAAGCGCAAGGGCCTGAGTTCAATCCCCGGTTCCAAAGAAAAAAGAAAAAAAGATTAAATGAGTTAATGAGACATATAGCACCTAGAACAGTACCTGGCACACAGTAAACACTGCTAGTAGATATCTTTTAATATTTAAATATGTTTCTATTCAAGTATCACATACACCAAAAGAAAATAGTTTTCAACTAAAAACATGCTCTATTTTAAAAAACCTTTATTAGTAAAAGTATATGATACATATGTTTTCTAATCATTTTGGGGAATTGGTATATGTAAATACAGTTTGTTTCTTTTTTAAAAATGGACTTTTTTTTTTTTTTTGCATTTTAGAGAAGGGCCTACAGGGTGTTCAGGGTTTCTTCACTACTAGATGGAACTTGTGATTCTCCCATTTACAACCTCCCAAGAGCTGGGATTACAGGCATGCACCACCACTCCCAGTTTCAACTGCTGTCTCAGTGTGGCCCAGGGGCAGGGCCAGCATGGCAGGCCCAGAGATTGAACCCCCAGCCTCTGCACCTGCTTGCAGGCACTTTAATCCACCGAGCTATTTAGCAGCCCTTAAAATGGAATTTTTGCCAGGTGTGATGGTGCTTTCTTATAATCCCAGCTTCTGTTAGGCTGAGATAGGATCACCGAGGTAGAGGTCAGCCTGGGCTACACAGTAAGTTCAAGGCCAGCCTCACTACATAGCAAAACTTTGCTCAAAAAAAAACAGTAAATAAAAATGGAATTTTTCCCAAAATCTTGGGTTTATTATCCAGTACTGCAAATAAATGAATGAATAAAATGTTTTTGGATTTTCTGTGGGGGATAGATAATGGGGACTGAATCCAGGGACTATGGACTGAGCTACATCCTGGAATTATTATTACACAAGATCTTGGCAATCAGGCCAGCAAGATAGCTCAGTGGACTAAGCACATGCTTAGGCAACCTCAGGAACCAGAGTTGATTCCTAGCACCACATGCCTCGCTGAGCCAGCCACCAAGACTGGGCATGGTGGCACACTGCTGTAATCCCAGTACTGGGGAGGCTGAAAAGAGAAGGATCACTATGAGTTCAACCTACGTAGTGAGGGGAGGCCTTGTGGTGCAACAGTAATGAGTCTGACTCCAACCTGCATAGTGAGACTCTGTACCAAATTAAAAAAAAAAAAAAAAAAAAAAAAAAAAAAAAGAAAAAAAAATCTTGGTAATCACTATATCCCAGGGTAAGTTCAAATGTACCATCTTTCAGCCTTAGGCTCCCAGACTACTGGGATTAAAGAAGTATATAACATACCCAGGTTAAAAACATCACTTTTTTGGGGGGTTTTTTGAGGTAGGATCTCACTATGTAGTGTAGACTTGCTCTGAATGCTCTATGAAGCCCATGCTGGCCTCTGGCTCCTGGTAATCCTCCTGCCTCAGCCTCCAGAGTGCTGAAATTACAGGAATATACCATTATGCCTGGCCAAACAACAACAAAAAAAAGATTTTACAAGACAGACATCAGACAGTACCATTTTCTAAGGCAGGGTTTCTTTTTTTTTATTTATCAGATACGGGTTCTCACTACGCAGTTCAGACTCAATGGTGATCCTCCTGTCTCAGCACCTATGCTGCTGGGATTATAGGCATGCAACACCACATCCAGTTTCAGGACCATCATGGTGCACTGGGGATCAAATCTGGGCCCTAGCTCTTGGCAGGCAGGTGCTTAGACCCCTGAGCTATCTCCCCAGGCCCTTTTTTTTTTTTTTTTTTTTGGTCTTTTTTTTTTTGAGACAAAGTTTCAATATGTAATTCAGGCTGGGCCTGAATTAGTTTATTTAGCCCTGTGCTGTCCTCCAACTCACAGCAATCCTCCTGACTCAGCTTCCTGAGTGCTACAATTACAAACAAGCACCACCTCACCTGGCCTAAGGTGGGTTAGTAAGTGGGATGAATGCCTGTGTAAGCATATGAAGGCAACTTACCCAGGAGTTTAACAGTGAGTGACATTCAAACCTCAGAATTAATCCAAAAGGACCTTAACAAAAATAAAAAAAACTTCACTTTTGCAGCCATGCCAATGTCTGTGCAGTCATGCTGTTTTTCTTGATGTAAGGGTCAAAGCATCAACCCTAATTCACCTAGCTAACAAGTGACTAGTACTGTCCCAACAATCCAACCTATGCCAGAGAAAGCCATGGAAATCCCCACAAAGACCTCCATGGCACTTATATATTCTTGTGCATACCCCAAGCTGAGGCATCAGAGCTTTCAACCACTCATTTACATTTTGAAATAGCTATTAACTCATCAGTGTATAAATTCTAAACTATTAACTACTGATTAGCTATTAATAAATGCTTAAGTCAATGTTATTCCTAATACCATAAAAACAAGATTAAGATTCTGAAGTATTAGCTAAATTAAATACTGAAAATTATCTAATTAAGAACCTTCATCTCAGATGAAGGAACCAAGGTCCAAAGACAGCCTTCCCTGATAAATCCCACAGTACTAAAGGCAAGGTATAAGTGATTTATATATCCTGT